AGAGCGCTTGCCTTGCATGCATGAGGCCCTGGGTTCAATTCCTCAGCACCACATAAGCAAAAAGAAAAAAGCCGGAAGTGGTGCTGTGGCTCAAGTGGTTGAGTGCTGGCCTTGAGCTGAAGAGCTGAGGGACAGCGCCCAGGCCCAGAGTTCAGGCCCCACAACCGGACCCAAAAAAAAAAATGGCCAGGTTGTAAGCATGTTAGACTTTCTGGACCACAGAGGGTGTCTATCATGTATTCCTTTTTTTTCTTCCTCTTCCCCTATCCTTCCATTTCTTTTCTCTTTCTTTACCTTTTGTCTTCCTTTCCTCCTTGTTTTACAACCTTTTAAAAATGTAAAACTCATTCTTTTTCCTCTGCCCCTACAAAAAAAAAAAAAGCTCCAGGAGGGAAAACGAGGAAAGTGAAGGCAGGAGTGACATTGTCCAAAAAAGACATGTACTCATTACCTGATTTAGGCAATGGTAACTCTGTACACCAGCTTAATGATAACAATAAAAATTATAGATTTTTAAAAATCAGAGCTCCAATCTGCTGTAACTATCTTAGAACTAGGATGGGAAGAGAGATTGTCAGGTAAAGTCTGAGACAGGGCTGTTATGTTAAGCTGAGGAAGGCCTGGGAAACATGGGGAGGGAATGGATGAGGATCTTGAAGCAGAATTAACTCTTCCTAATGATTGCTTAGTTATGAGGTATTAGAAAGAAAAGGACAAAGCAGGTATGATTTTGAGTCTTCAAAATTGAGGGACTAAGAAGTGGTGCTGGTGCTATTATTTAACACCAAGACTGCAGGAGAGTTTTCAGAGAAGATGGAATCACTTTGAAGGCGCTAAGTCCAGTGTCTGAGCATCATCCAGGTAAAGGGTACCTGCAGCCTGGTGCCTTTGTGGGTCAGGGACCATTTCGTCCCATCCACAATGTGTACCATACAAGGAGCCTATGAGGGAGTGGTCATGGAATACTAAAGTGTCCCAAGTCTATAAGACAGGAAAGAGCTGGATTTTAGGAACACCAGACTGGCAGTATATCTCGGGAAGAACTGGAGAGGATGAGACTAGATAGTCCAGTCTCCTGTGGGAAGTCCAGGAGGAAAGGAGCGCCTCACATTGGGTAGTAGCAACGAGACAGAAAAAAAGACAGCAGGTGGGAGAGAGAGGGATGGGACAGAATTGCAAGGAGGTGGTACTCTATAGGTAGAAGAAGAAAGGCCTTCTACAATATTGTACTCAGACTCCAGTGTCACCGATGCTGCTGCTTCTGTCTTATCCTTTTGTGGTCCTCCCTGACTGAACTACTCAGGCCGTGTAATGCAAACTGTTTCCATATCTTTGCAGTGTTTATACAAATCCAGTTGTGTGGCGCATGTAGATAGTTGTGTCCTGTCCCACTGGTAAAAACCTTGGCATATTCTCCATTAACAGGAAAAGGAAATATAGAAGAAAAAATAAGAGAGCACTTGATAAAAGAGTTAAAAATGTTGGGTGTTTTTTGTTTGGTTTTGTTTTCATTTGAACTGGTACACATCTTAACCTAGGGCTTTAAAATTGCATATATTTCCAGAAAACCCTCCATCAAGGTAAATTTGCATGTTGCCAGCCTTCCTGTAATTCTTTCTACCTAGGTCTGAAGTCTCTTGTGGCCTTACTGTAGCAGGTCTTCCTTAGTAGCATGACTGCTGTTGAGATACAGTGACTGTGTACATCTGTCTTCCCAGTGCATTAAGCTACTGTGTTAAAATACATATAGAGCCGCCTCTGTCCACAATGTGCACCGCACGCTAACACCCAGGATGCTTGGTGGTTAGAATAGAAAGGGCACAAGACCATTTCTTTTTGTCTGTTTGGCAATTAACCATTCACTGGCTTTTTTTTGTTGTAACATGCACTTCCTTTCTCTTGTTTTCATTCAAGCTGTGTACGCCATGGAAATTAATGTGGAGAAAGACAAACAAACAGGAGAGACCAAGATTCTCTCTGCATCTGCCATTGGCCCAGAGGGGGTGCATCAGAGAGGAGTCAAAGTCTATGACGATGGTACCAAAGTAGTATATGAGGTGCACTCAGGAGGCACCATAGTAGAAAACGGAGTGCACAAATTAAGCGCAAAGGATGTTGAAGAGCTTATTCAGAAAGCTGGACAATCAAGCTTAAGAGGAGGGTACATGTCAGAAAGGACTGTTATTGCAGATGGGAACCTCGGCCATCCCAAGGAACACATGCTCTGCAAAGAAGCCAAGTTAGAAATGGTGCATAAGTCTAGGAAAGATCACGCTTCTGCAAACCCAGGGCAACAGGCTCAAGCTCCCAGCACAGAAGGGCCAGAGGCCATCTTGGATCAGCCAGTCACCATGATTTTTATGGGCTACCAAAACATCGAGGATGAAGAGGAGACTAAAAAGGTACTGGGCTACGATGAAACCATCAAGGCAGAATTAGTTCTCATTGATGAAGATGATGAGAAGTCATTAAGAGAGAAGACAGTGACAGATGTGTCCACTATTGATGGGAATGCAGCTGAGCTGGTATCCGGAAGGCCGGTCTCAGACACCACTGAACCCTCATCCCCAGAAGGGAAAGAAGAGAGCCTGGCCACAGAGCCAGCCCCAGGTACCCAAAAGAAAAAGCGCTGTCAATGCTGTGTTGTCATGTGACCACTTCTTTTCTCCCTTTTCTTCCGGGCAGCCTCTCTACCCTCCACCACTTCCATAGACCTCACTGCACCACTAACTGCAATACTGTGAACTGGGAGCGAACACCTGCCTTGCCTTGCAGTTGGATTGCTTTGATCTCTCTTTTTATTTTTTTCCTTTTCCTCACCTCAGAAACAACGTGCATGTGTGTGGTTCATTTTTTTCCCCAAGAACTTGCTTTTCCTCTAAACCTTTTCTTATGTCTTCAAGAGTGAATCAGTACCTACTGCTCGATTGGAATGGACTGTTCATATCAGCCTGTTAATCTTGTAGCCTTAATTTACTTGACTGGAATCCAACCCATTGGCACTGGGGCTTTCATTTTGTTGTGTATTCCTCCAAGATAGTCACACACAAACACACACATACACACACTGCCACATCCCCAACTTCTCATTTGCCTCACTTGCTGTGGATCTTAGTTTTTATAACTTGTTTTTATATCAGCTGTGGGCTGTAGCTGGTTTCTAGTGTAGCCAACAGTGGACATACTTAATCTGTCATTCTAGGGAGATGCTTTTTTCTGCCTTATATGAGCTTCCAGATTACAGTATTGAGCATCGCTAGCTTTTCCTTCTGTTAAACCTGAAATGAAGTTGATGTGAATCAAAAAGAATCCAGTGTTGGGCACAGCAGAAGTGTAGGAACCTGCTCAGCGGCAGCTGTCTCTCTTTCTATGTCTTAACTTCTCTATACAAGAAGCTCCATCTTACATTTTCTAAGGACCTGAGACAGCCATTATTTTAAGCATTGGTAGTGATCATCAAGTTTAGACATTCCGATCCATGAACTCTGTTTCTATTCTCTCAAACAATGTAAATTTTTATATCGGTTTCTTTTTCATGAATATTTTCTGATCATATCAATCTATTTTCCATGAGGGGATCATTTTGAGAAGTGTCTCTGCACTGACCACATTTCTAAAACAGTCTTTCTAAACTACAGTAGTTACAGCGCTCCCACTTTATCAAGGATGGTGCTGTGTGCATTAACTGTCCAGCTCATGTGCCCGGTGATTGTAGTCTTGGCAGCTGTAACTTTTCTTTCCATCCTTCCCGAGGGAAAGAGAATGCTTCCAGTCACTTTGACACGCAGGTCTAAGGACAGACATGAAAATAGCAGGTTTAAGGGGGGAAAATTAAATGTAAAAAAAGGTTGAAACATGTCAAAAGACCTGTCTTGTCATTGTGAAATATTTAAATTCAGTCCACAGGCTAGTTGAAATGTTACTGAACTTTCTAAAACTTTTTTTCACTCTTAAACACCTGGAGATTCTGGAATGCCAAGGAATCCTTTTTTTCTAGACCACAATAAACAGTGCTTGAAATAAATTCTTAGCACCAAAGTGATGTTAATAATTTAACATCTTGATGGGCAGTGAAACCAAAAGAAAAGAATAATAACATAAAAATGAACAGCTCATTTTAATAGCAGATAACTTCAAGTTACTTGTGCAAATGCTTCTGTAGCATTTTACAAAATTTTCTGTGTTTCTATAGAATATAGTTGCAAAAAATACATAATATGACATCTCATATTAAATCTTCTGTGGAGAGTAGTTCAGAAAACAGTAAGATGGCCTGAAACATTGTGTTATAGAACCAATTCAATTTGTCCTGTTCAGCTTTCTCAGTGCTAAATTTATTTAGTTAATTTTGGAACTTGAAATGATATTCCAATGAGAAAGGAAAATGACATTTTTATGTCTGTTATTTTTCTCAAATAACTGAATTTTTAATGAGCACAAAATGAGTCATTTTATCCCTAGTAAGTAAGCAAGAGCAAGAGTTAAGGAAGAGCAAGCAGAGAAACTAAGCTGGATTTACTTTGGGCAACTAATGGAGGGAAGTTCCTTTGTCTCAGGTTTACCACAGTAGATGAGATGGAATAAAATGCTGTCTTACAAGAAACCTGTTTTAATGCTAACATATCTCACTATTCTCAGCTTCATTACTCAGTAGATGGTTGTTTAAGCAACACTTACATGTTAGATAAAAAGTTGTAAGGATCAACCTATCTTCACACAGAATGAGCGGAGTTTCCATGTTGGGACAATCTCTTATTTTAAGAATTTATTTAGGAAAGAAACATAAAAGGTTGCCATAAGCTTGTCTTTTTTATTCACTTAGTGATTAAACATTATTCAGTGTGAGTTTTAAAAGCACATGAATGAGTGAAATGGCAGAGTTTAAGCCCCGTGGACTTGGTGTTTGATGGACAGAATCAGTCTTTCAGGAGAAATCCTTTCCTTTCCTTCCATAAGAGAACTAGTTTCTCATGACAAAATGATCTGTACCTCTCACAAGAACTCTACTCATAAAGCCAAAAATACCAGTGATAATCCACACTCCATCAGTTACTCATATGGGAAATAATAACTAGCAACTTACGTGAATTAGGATTCTCTATACTTTTATTTTTAAACATTATCATTTTTTAAGTTTTTAAAATGACATGTGTTGCCTTCCTCAATTATTTATCACCACAGTAAATGAAGATGCCTTTGAATGTGGCAAACATTTGAATATTTTCATGTCTTCATAAGCAGGTGGGCTCAGACAGGACTTCTATTGGACAAGAACTATAGTCCTATGTAAAGCAGCAAGTTATGCCCTTGATAATGAAAATGTAAACAAACCTATGATTGTGAATACTCTGCCTTTCCTCCTGCTTTTGTCACACTTTCGCTTTAAAAATTATCATGGCCTTCAAGAATGCAGACGATTCGGTTATATAACCAAGTTAATGAAAGAATCAGTAATGAAGCTACAAACCAGGATCTTTTTTGAGCTAATATTTAGTTGGGCTGTCCCTAAAAACCTTATAATCAGTTCTCTTTTAAATAGAGGAAGAAAAAAAGTGATGTCATTTTTAACAGATTATGGTGACATTTATTAAAGATTATTTAATAGTTAAAATGAGAACATTTATCCCTATATGTCATGAAAAATGTTGATGACTTGTGTATCCTTGACTTTCCCCCTTTTTCTCTGTAAATATGCAGTAACACAAAACTGAGGGGACTTATTTTTACCTTGTTCTTATTCTACCCATAATGATACTGCTTTCCATGTATGATCAAAAATAATAGTGTCTAAGTGTGATTTCCTAAATACTACTGATGCCAATTAGCATGAGGGTTAGAGCAGAAAAATACTAGGAATTCACCTCTTGACAGATTCGAAACATGGCTTCCTTAAGCATCCTGAGCCATCCTAAAATTACAAAAAGGCTTTTAGGAACTAAAAGTCTAGAGTTAATTAAATTGAACTGCTTGTGAAATGTCAATAAACATGTATTTACTTTAAATCCCCACCTTTTCCGATTTACTTCTGGTAATCAGTGTTTTCCCTGCGTGCAAGTAGATTATTTTGTTTTGGGTTAGGGTCAAGTATTAATAAAAGGAGAGAAGCCAATAAAAATACAGAGAGAGATACAGAGTGAGAGAGAAAAAGAGAGAGAGTCCCCTGGAGATAAAATATCATCATATCATCTCTGGGACCAAGCATCAAAGCCAAATGGGAAAACAGTTCATTTCCCTTCACATCCTGCAGAATTTGAATTCAAGAGACCTCAGAGTACTCTTGAAAGTTGCCATTTACTTAATGCCAATAGGTAACAAAAGACGAGGGAAGAGAATATGGAGATAAGAGAAAAGAAAAAGAGATGTTATTCCTCTTTATAAAACATTAACCCTATCCATTTAAAACATACACCTAGGACAATTCTTTTTGCTCTTACTTAAAATCTAGAGGCAAAGTCATTTTTTCTTCAATCATAGACCCACTGAAGAGTTTAACTCACTAAAAAAGACCCAATCCTTGCAGATATAGTCTCTTGTCTCCTGTTATGTTAGTTCATAGCAAACCATGCTTAGGTGAATGGTCTCGTGTTGTATTTTTACAACATGCACATTCATAGTTGAAATCACAAATTCTCAGCATTTTTAAGACATAGGTTTGAAAACCTTGCTAAATATATAATCCTTCAGAAGCTCCTTGATTTCTTCATCAAGCTCCATTGAACTCCACTGGTTAAAGGAGAACCATAAAGTATTATTTGCTCTATTGGGATAGTGAAACCAAACAGGAGCCTGGAGTTCATACAAAATAGCTCAAAGTAACAAAGGGGAAGATGGATCTTTGATTCCTGCTATTAGTTCACCTTCATTTTGTAGCTTTCTTCTTCACTTACTGAGAAAACCCTCTTCATTTTCTATGGACAAAAAGAATTGGCATCTACATTGGCACAGGAATACAATGCAGTCATGTGTCTATATTTTTATAACTTCAGCAATCATCTTAATTATAATTCCCATTTCAACAACAAACAGAATACTTAGTGATTGAATGTAGTAAGCTATGGAATAGTGATTATATCTTGAGAATGTCAAAGGGAAATGTTACTGGGAATCCTTCAACCAGCTCCCCTAACGTAATTTTGGTATAATTTAAGTAGGCTTCTGCTTCCTGTCTCCCCTAAAGACTAACATTAGAAAGTCTGAACTGGGCTGGGAAGGTAGCTCAGCAGTAGAGTGCATGCCTTGCAAGCATGAGGCCCTGGGTTCGATTCCTCAGCACCACATAAGCAAAAAGAAAAAAGCCGGAAGTGGTCCTGTGGCTCAAGTGGTAGAGCTCTAGCCTTGAGCTGAAGAGCTGAGGGACAGTGCCCAGGCCCAGAGTTCAGGCCCCACGACCGGACCCCCAAAAAAAATTGTACAGATGCAGAACCGGGCATTGGTGGCTCAAATCTGTAATCCTAGCTTCTCAGGAGGCTCGAGATCTGAGGATTGCAGTTCAAAGCCAGCCTGGACAGAAAAGTCCATGAGATGCTTATTTCCGGTTACCCACCAAAGAATTGGATGTGGAACTGTGTGGAACTGCATTAGTCTTGAACCCAAAAGCTCAGGGACTGCAC